GATATCAAGTGTTTCAAGTGTTTCTGTAGGTAGACTAAGTTCCAGTCAGATTGAAATACGCTCGGTATGTCAAATTTCAACTTTGATCTACAAGAGTGATCTAGCACTTGCTTTCTAGTAATTCTGAGTGTGTCTGTGTGTACAAGTGCATTTTAACTTTGCTTTTTTTTTTTTTTATAAACATTTTCTAGCCTTTATCTGGAAATATTGGAAGATAATATTTCATTCAAGTAGGCTGCTGTGTACTTAATTTCTCATTTTTCCCAGACAGGAGCGGATGGTTGTATATGCTATCTGGAATATGAAACAGATAGGAAGACATTAGAGTTTACAGGGATGAAGCAAGTGAAGGAGTTGAGTCTTATTCAATCTGTCTCCACTGATAATAGCTCTGTCAGTGAGTTGTCAAGCTGCCATTGTGCTGCTGGTTTTGCATCAGTGGATTTTATTATTTGGAACTTAATAACTGAGACCAAGGTAGAGTCCTTTCCTGTACCTCAGACTGCTTACTGAAATGATTTGTAAGTTGTTTGTGTTATTTATTTGGTGCCTAAGGGCCCATATTTTGTTGCAGGTTGTGCGAATTCCATGCGGTGGATGGCGTCGTCCTCATTCCTATTATCTTGGTGATATACCAGAAATAAAGAACTGCTTTGCATATGTTAAGGTTCGTGCCAATCTATTTAGAATTGGTAATTTCAGAGACACAAATGAAATAAGCATTGTGGAAAGGTAGATCCACGGAGTAGGTCAAAAGTGTTTTTAATCATCTGAAAATACACATCCATAATGCATGATATGAGTTCCTTTAGTTTTGTGTAATGAATTGCTTTGTGAACTGTTTTGCTGCTAAGCACATCATTCTATCTTTTGTTAATAATTGATCATATTTTCATTTGTTTACTTTGAAAAGATAAGGTTTCATTTGAATTTTATCTTAAAACTCTGCACTATATTTCTTTGATTTATCAGGATGAAATCATTTATATTCATAGGCAGTGGGTGCTTGATGGTGAAAGGAAGATACTCTCCAGGAATTTGCATATGCAATTCCATGGGAGAGAGATGCATTCCATATGCTTTGTCTCAGAAGGATTTCAACCTGGAGTATATGGGAAGCACAGCCTCTTCTCTGGATCTAGTTGGATCGCAACTGGGTGTGAAGATGGAACTGTGAGGTTGACTAGGTATGGTTCTAATTATTAGCTATTTAATATCTGAAATTTAAAAATGAAATAAAATAAAGGACAAATAGTTGAATTTATTGTATAATATAATTGAATGTATTTACACTCTTGTAAACCTTGAGATCTGAGCTGACAGTATACATGGATGCTGTAGTCTACAGAAAAATGAATATATGCATGATATTTAAAATATGAACCCTCCTGGGTGGCAAAAATGAGTGATTTATCATGTGCTTATACAAGACTAGCTAATTGTCTAATGGTTCACTTAGGTATATGCCAGGTGTTGAGAATTGGTCTGCATCAAAATTGCTTGGGGAGCATGTTGGTGGATCAGCTGTGAGGTCAATATGTTCTGTGTCAAAGATAAGCATAGTTCCGTCAGATGTGACCAACATACCCGATATGAGAAACGGACAAAATGCAGCAACGGAGAACAGAGAAACTCCGGTTTTGTTGATTTCTGTTGGTGCAAAGCGGGTGTTGACTTCTTGGCTACTAAGAAGTAGGAAGGTAGACAAGAAGGAAGAACAGCATAACATCACTGGAAATAGCAATAAAGTTTCGTTGCAAGAATCATCTTCAATGTCATTCCAGTGGCTTTCCACAGATATGCCAGCCAAGTACTCTAGTGCTCATAAATTTCCAGAAAACAAAGAGAAAAAGGTTGGTCTAGCTGCGAATGTTTCTAGTGCAGAAGCTGAAGCAATATCTATGTCACTATCTTCAGAAAAGGGAAAGATGGAGTTGAGATCTGGAATTAAGGACAAGTATGAAGATGACTGGAGATACCTGGCTGTCACTGCTTTTTTGGTTAAATGTGCCGGTTCCAGGTAATAGCAAAAACGACTAATATTTCTTTTGCTTATCTGATTTCCCTTTTGTATATAATACCATATTTTGGATTTCTTTTCAGGATTACCGTCTGTTTTATTGTAGTCGCTTGTTCAGATGCCACCCTTGCATTACGGGCACTTGTTTTGCCATATAGACTATGGTATTGATGAAGGAGCCTAACCTGTTGTATTCTTAATGATTCTCTCATCATCTCATATATGACATTCGTTTCTTTATCTCTCTGTAGGTTTGATGTTGCTATATTATTTCCTTTGTCATCACCAGTTTTGGCTTTGCAGCATGTCGTCCTTCCCACATGTCTCCCTTCTGAAGGTTAGTGATTGTTGGAGTCTTCAGGGTCTAGAAGTTTGTAAACCAGTCAAACCTTCAGACATACGTATCTTATGAAATTGTTGAAACCCTCCATTTCCTGACTCCAAAGTACTTCTTCATTAGTTAGGCGATTTTCTTGACTGAAATTTTGCACATCATTTAATTCGATAAAACTTTGTTATTTGTGGCTATTATAGAAATATTTAAATGTTTAGTATAACAATGCCTTTGCCCTTAGACATCTTAGTTCTCAAAATTCTGTCCATCAGTTCCTTTGTTATAAAGGCATTGACCATCGAGCATATGCCCTTGGAATTTAAGTGGTGGTCCCCTGTCTCTAACCATGGAGAATAAAGATTACAAGTTCACCTCAAAAGAAAGTGCTCATCGTTTAATAGTGGCACGTGTATTGGTCTGAGTAATAGATGCCAATTTAAATTGCTGGATCCCTCTTCTGAATGGACCTTGTACTGATTAAATTAAATTGTGTCTGTACGTAGCTGATGTTTTTTCCTTTATTTTTTCCCTTAGACTTCTAGAACTATTGCCACATCTCATCCAACATCAGGATAATTTAGTTGAATGTAAGGTTATGTTTTTTGATATGTTAAGTTTAGCTTGAGATCCTTATTGATTTATTGAACATAAAAATGCCTCTTCCCAGCTGCATGTTGATATCAGTGGAGGAGATAATTGCTACTGCTATAACTTCAAAATTTAGATAGTCACTTTGCTCTCTGTGACCTGAGCTTTTTTCCTTGTCATGATTTTTATACCGTCAAAGCACTTTCATGCTGGGGTTGTGAGTATTCAATATGTTTGTCCTAAATTTTATATCTTGATCTCTTTCAGTTATATTTTCAAAGTACTGTTTCTTATAACTTCTATTCACAGAAAATGTTCAGTTTGGAAGTCTGTATATTCTCATTAGTGGGGCTACTGATGGAAGTATTGCCTTTTGGGACCTCACTAGAAGCGTTCAGGCTTTCATGCAGCTGGTATCAGTACTTGATGTAGAAAAGTTCATTGATTGTCAGAAACGGCCACGGACAGGGAGAGGAAGTCAGGGTGGACGACAGTGGAGATCTTTAGGCGGTAGCATGTCAAAGAATAGACTAGGCGCTGGTTCCGCCACTGTAAAATCTGGAGAGGAAACTGATCACAATTTGCTTGATCGTGTTATGGATGGAACCTCAGAGATGCTAAATGATTATGAACGCAGCAGAAAAACTTCTTCACAAGCTACTGATACTGCTTCCCTAGATTCAGAAGTGAATGCTTGTGATTCCTCATCTGATATATGTGAAATATCTCCTTTATATGTTTTCAAGAACATTCATCAATCTGGTGTCAATTCTCTCCATGTTTCAGATGTAGAGGGTTGTCAAAGTCCTGAAATTGGTTTTCTTTACAATTTAATTAGTGGGGGTGATGATCAAGCCCTTAGCTGTCTTAGGTTTGAATTGTCAGTGTCAGCATCAGACTCCGAATTTGAGAACATGACACTGGATGTCAGAAAGTCAGTCACTCAACTTGGAAATGCAAAGAACTTTATTCATTCTAGTCAAGACAAGAACTATTGGATCAGATTCCTAAATCATGATATAGTCCCCTCAGCTCACAGCTCTGCTGTAAAAGGTAGGCCATTTTATTCAAACTCGAGTTCAATCCCATTCTAGAGTACTTCATAATATGGAGCATAAAAGTGTCTCCTGTGTGTTTAACCTCTTGTTTTCTTGTTGTCTCCTTTCCTAGAACCTTTGAAGTACTAGTTTTAGTGTTTTGTCTTTGCTAAATTTATCATTTTTTACTAAGAATTCAAATTGGTTTATTTATGAAGGTGTTTGGACAGACGGATCTTGGGTTTTTTCCACTGGTCTGGATCAGCGTGTCAGGTGCTGGCGTCTTGAGGAGGAAGGTAAACTAGTTGAGCATGCTTATTTAATCATCAGTGTCCCAGAGCCAGAAGCGCTGGATGCTAAAGCATGTGGCAGGTGAGTAAAGCGCCTTATACAAGCATAAGATTCACAGTGATGCATTTCAGTATGATATGAACGGATAACAATTTTCTTTGACAGCTTACCAAGTATTGTTTGTGTTTTATTTAGGAACCATTATCAGATTGCAGTAGCTGGAAGAGGAATGCAAATGCTTGAGTTCTCTGAAATTCAAGACGTCAGTTGATGGATGCAGGACAGTCAAGTTGGTTCTTCGGTGATCTTATAATCCAGTATGGCTACATATTGATCTGAAGGTCTGACCCAAGCATGAGTAAGTCTTCACCTCTTACACATTGGCATTGGATCTGCAAAATTTTGATAACTGGGTTGCGTAGCATGTGTGAGCTGTCTTGAAGTTCCTCCCCAATATATATTTATTTATTTATTTTACAATTGCAATGTGTGCAAAAAGCCCAGCTAAGCTGCGACAAGAATCTCAAACTCCCAGGGGATTTTGTGATGGTGAGTGGGGGTGTTTTCTTTTAGTTTTTTCTTTTTTCTCTTCTCTTTTGGGCCCTTGATGCCCAACATGATATATATTATAGCCAATTTATCCAGTTTTGGGGTTCACATAAGAAATCTGAGCTGTGAACTGCGACAAGCAATGATATGTAACAGTAAATTGTAAATTAGCTTCAATTGATTTTTAAAATATCTCATGATTCAGTTAAATTGGCCATTAATACATATTTTGAAGCTTAAATTACACACAAATAGGTGGCTGGAAGTTCTCTTGTTCACACTAGGGTCCTCACTTGCCGGGTACGAAGTTGGTGGCATAAGCCCAGGCATTGTTGTTAACAGGATCAGCGAGATGATCAGCAAGGTTCTCAATAGGGCCCTTTCCAGTAACAATGGCCTGCACAAAGAAGCCAAACATTGAGAACATGGCAAGTCGGCCATTCTTAAGTTCTTTCACCTTAAGCTCTGCAAATGCCTCTGGGTCATCTGCAAGCCCCAAAGGGTCAAAGCTGCCTCCTGGGTACAGTGGGTCAGTGACCTCACCGAGTGGTCCTCCGGCAATGCGGTAACCCTCAACAGCACCCATGAGAACCACCTGAGTTGCCCATATTGCTAGAATGCTCTGTGCATGAACTAGGCTTGGGTTTCCAAGGTAGTCAAGGCCACCCTCACTGAAGATTTGAGCTCCAGCTTTGAACCACACTGCCTCACCAAACTTGACTCCATTTCTGGAGAGCAGCTCTGGGAAAACACAGCCCAAAGCCCCAAGCATTGCCCATCTTGAGTGAATAACCTCGAGTTCACGGTTCTTGGCAAAAGTTTCAGGGTCAGCTGAGAGTCCAGCGGTGTCCCAACCATAGTCACCGGGGAATTCGCCGGTTAGGTAAGATGGCGCCTCACCAGAGAAAGGTCCGAGGTATTTGACACGATCAGGGCCGTACCAGGGGCTGCCTGATGATACAGCTGGCTTTCTGCCTGTCTTCCTCATAGAAACTCTACCATTGCCTTGGACAGTTGAGAACTCTGTCTGTGTGTTTAAAGGAATGGCCTTCCCGGTGAAAGGGGATGAGAGAGCCATAGTTGCCATGTCTTATATCTTCGGAGAGAGAAAGAGAGAGAGAGAGAGAGAGGGTGGATACTTATGAAGCCAGTGAAATGTTTGATGATTGAGTATGCAGAATATGATGTTCTCTTTTATAAGGGATCCAGTGAGATCCACAATCCTATCCATAATCCATGTGTATCTTCTTCACCCTTTTCCTGATTGGTTCTTGGGGTGATGTAGTGATTAAAGCATCCGGCTCATCTTCCCATCCAATCAATGAAGGATATCATGGATTATATTGAAATTATTTGGACTGTTTCCTCAAAACACATATCACGTCACCCTCTGGTCCTTGATGTAAATTACGGTTACACCAAACTTTACAAGCCATTTTTAATTTTTGGTTAGGCCTCATTTTGCTTTTACCTAAGTCCTCGTAGTCATAGACTCATAGGCGTAGGGCTTTGTTGTTGTTTTGGCAATGCTTCTTTTCATGGGATTAAGCTTCAAGGTAAATGCTGAAGAACTGGTGAAGGAAAAGAGAGAGAAAGGCCTTATTTTAATGCGTGTGGTCTGTTGCCAAATTGTTGGTGAACTGGTAAGTAAGCAAACTCCATCAAGATTCAAGATGCATGAGAGCAGAACATAATGCATCTCTCTCACACATTAATGTTTAGTCCGGCCGGATCTAACAAGAGTTTTTTATCTTCATGTCGCCCAATGCGATGAAGTTGACAAATTGTGTCCAAAGAGATTGAGGCCCGCAATCCCAAACGGCATGGGGTTGACTACAAAAACGACAATACCCATGGAAGAAGCGGCCTTCTATATAGTATATAGAAATAGACCCATACATTTTTATCGGTGCACCGAATTATCCAGAACTTATCATACCCAAATTTTAAAAATACAATACTCCATCCAATTTGGAATTGTGAATACCTCACGAGCTAGGTATAGATGGTTAGCGCCTGTTGGGATTTTATTTATTTATTTATAGGATGTTAAATTTTTTGTTAATAATTCAAGTGCTTTTAGCCCTTTTAGAAGCACTCTCAAATATGCTATTTCATAAAAAGCGTTCTTTGGAGAAACATCTTCCAAGTGGTTTTGATGTTTTTCTAATTGAAGCACTTAAAAAATAATAATAATTTTTTAAAAAAAGAAAAAAGAAAAAAACTATGCTTCCTCTAGAAGCAATCCCAAACGGGTAGTTGTTCTTTTTGTGAAATTAAACGTAGATGAATTAGTGAATCACATAGGGTTGTTGAGGTTTAGGAGTGGCTATTTTTGGTTGTTGGTGGGTTGGACAAGTCACAAATCACGATATGAACTCCTCATCATCTTAGGCGGACAACAACTTCACCAACCCCCTTTGAGAAGAAAATAAAATGGAAAATTTGAAAGAAATATCGTACTGTTTAAGAAGATTTCGTCCTTTTTTAATCATTTTTGCAAAGGTGTAAACTAATCAAAGACTTGGGTGCATATAGAAGAAGCTTCCATGCAAGAACGTTGATGACGATCTTTTTCTCTGGAAAACAAGAATGATGACGACGAGGATCATCATGATGTAGAGCCGATTTGTGACTATTCTCAAATAAAAGTTAAAAACTTGGCTGTGGGAAAAGGCTTTAGGGTTTTCCGTATTTCACCAAACTTTATTGGCCCCAAAAAATAAAAAGGTCCTTGTGGTTGTGGAATCTGGATGTAGATTTATTATAGGCAAGTGAAAAATCCATCTCACCAAGCAAGCAAGCAAGCAAGACAACGGGTACGTGCCGGTTACCCCAAGTTCCCAACCTTTTGGGAATTTAGCAGAAAAGAATAGAATCAGATATCGACTCAACTTTTGAGTTAGTTTTTGATGGGTGGGAAAAGTAAGAAGGAGGAAGGAGGAAGTGGGAAACGCACCTAGCTTAGCCCTAAATAAATCCCAACTGCCCCCTTCTCACTTTTTGCTTAGTTGCTGCCTCGTCATCTAATCATCATCAACATCAACAGCAGCCATGGCTTCAACTCTCAAGTTCAATGGGTTGGGTTGGTTAAATTAAATTCCCCATAGTGCCCTCCCTCCTCTCCAAGAAAAAGAAGAGGTACGTAGTGCATTGGTCAATGACTGAATTGGGTTGGTGACCAAAGACTTTTCACAGACTCAGTTGTTACCAAACCCACCTCAAAAAGCATTTCATCTCATGCATATCACTTTAACTGGACATGAATATATTCTGTCATCAATAATGATCCCTAATATTACAAAACAAGCATTCATCCGGATTTATTCTGAATGGCATATGGAATACTTTTTATTATTATTATTATTATTTTATGTCAAGATATGGAATCCGATTGATCAATAATACCCTTATTTTAGCTTAACAAAAACTTGTTCTCCAAGGGTTGTTTAATTTATTAGGATTCTCCTCACAAATAATCCGATTCTTTTTGTTTTGGTTAGAGGTTGAGATAACCTCTGATTTTATTTAGGACGCTCCTCTATCCCTCCCCTAGTTGTATTTATTTGGAGTTGGTAAATAAATATATATAGAATTCAAAAAAGGCAGAGTTGTTTCTATAACACGCAATAATTGAATTTCAGAATGATCCCTCACCCATTTTTGTCCTTTTTCATTTCAAATCTAAAGAAGAAGAAAGAAAAAAAGAAGGTGGGGTTTCTGTCATTGGGCTGTTTATTGCTGAGATCCCAACAATTAATGGGGCAGCTTTCACTTAACACTTCCTTATCAAGCAAACTTCAACCGACGAACTGATGATTTTTTTTTACCTCAATTTGCATTTCATTCCCTTGCTCTGTGTTTTATTCTGCTTCTGCATTTCCCTTTCAAGAAATGACGTCGCTAAGAAGAACACTTGCTTTCAGTGTCTTTAATAAGACTAGCTTCCCAGCTCAGTTTTCTCCACTGTCTTGTCGGTTGTCGGTGGCCGTGTGAATAAGACCAAAATGCCATTGCAACTTAACATATATACATACACGCTCTAAATCCACAAGGTTCTTTTAGTACTTTCACTACTAAAATACCTTCATTTATGTATTCCTTTCCTCCTCCTATTCATTAATGGGTTATGAAATAAATGCACTCCCTCCAAAAAAATCCTACTAGCCGTTAAGTTAATTAATTAATTATAGAAGAAGAATATAAGGGAAATTTAATCGGTAATTAACTAAGCATATGAAAACGGAAACTATTTTAATTATAATATTATGAATATATATATTGTTTTTTTTTTTGGTCGAATATATATATATATATATATTGTTTGATTTGATATTAATGCTAATAATGAATAGTCAAAATGTATAATGCACCCAATGCTGTCCTTGTTCAACGTTCATAAACGTTATCCTTGAAACTGAACCAAGCCAAAACCCAAGACACTTTGTCAACCAAGTTTACTCGCCAAGCTAGTTAAGCCAAGCCAGTCAGCCGAGTACCGGTTAGGGTTGGTGAAAGACCAGCAGTAGCCGGTAATACCTACGGCCCAACCAAAGTACTAGATATTCTCTCTCACCGAACTCCGGAATAATCTCATCTCTGGATTCGCTCACATCCAACGGCTGACACCTTTTTAAGCTTTCAATCTACCTCGTTCGCAACCGTTAGATGGTTGATGACAAATCCAAAACGGACGATCCCGGTTAACCGGTTTGGTCAGATTGATCTATAAATAGCGGATAAGAGGCAATTGAGGCTCCCAAAAGACTTTTGTAGTCGTTTAAGTTCCGCTTTCTCTGCGTTAGGGGTCTGGTTCGAAAAGCACAGCCTCCTTCTTCCCTCCAACTTCTTAAGAGTTTCAGATCTGCGCTTCAGAGGTTCCATTTTCGCGCTCTTTCCTATTGAGTTTTTGCTTTTCATGTCTCTGTGTTTTGTGGGTTCACTATAATGCATGCAGATCTGGTGGTTTATAAGGTTTTGTTTTGGTTTTTTTTACTTCTGTTTTGGAAATATGAGAGATCTTAGAGGCTTGCTGTTGTTTTTGTTAGCATTTACTCTCGGTTGCTTGTGACCGACAAGTCAAATTGAAGTCGTACAATATTATTGAGTAAATTTTGCAGATCTGGTGACCTCTTCATTTCATTTGCTTGTAATCTACAGAATTTGGGTTTTTGATTTTCACTGTGGTTATTGTGTTGCTTATTTAATGAGTACTATTATGTATTCTGAAGATTTGTTTGAGACTGGTGCCATTATCAGAACAACCCTGTTTAATGGTTGATATTCTTCTTTTCTCAAACAAATCCCTTTTTTCTTAAAGATGACCATGATGTGCTAGTTCACTCAATTATCAGGATGTCAATCTGTTTCAGGGATGTAGATTCTATTCAGCTTTATGTCTGATCTGATGTTATTCTTTATGGATATGGTTGTTCTTTGTTTGTTCACTCTGTATTTGCTTTTCTGGGAATAATACTTTTGTAAAAGTATAATTGATATGTTTTCCACCAATTTCAAACTGTTTTTGACATTTATTCTTTCACTTTGTTGGAGCTATTGACTTTTCTTTGTTGCTTAAAGTATACTATGGTGGGTACAGTGCTTAGCTTGATATTATGCTATTGTGATGTGTAGAGAATGGAGACTTTCCTATTCACATCTGAATCCGTGAACGAGGGTCACCCCGACAAGCTGTGCGACCAGATCTCTGATGCAGTGCTCGATGCCTGCCTTGCCCAGGACCCTGACAGCAAGGTTGCCTGCGAGACATGCACCAAAACCAACATGGTCATGGTATTTGGAGAGATCACCACCAAGGCCAATGTTGATTATGAGAAGATTGTTCGTGAAACTTGCCGCACCATTGGATTTGTTTCTGATGATGTAGGTCTTGATGCCGATAACTGCAAGGTCTTGGTTAACATTGAGCAGCAGAGCCCGGATATTGCCCAGGGTGTCCATGGTCACTTCACCAAGAGACCTGAGGAGATTGGTGCTGGTGACCAGGGTCACATGTTTGGTTATGCCACTGATGAAACCCCTGAATTGATGCCGCTTAGCCATGTGCTTGCTACCAAGCTTGGTGCTCGCCTTACTGAGGTTAGGAAGAATGCTACCTGCCCCTGGTTGAGACCTGATGGCAAGACCCAAGTGACTGTTGAGTACTACAATGAAAATGGAGCTATG